TCACCGATATTATTGGATCAAAAGATGGGCTTGGTGTTGAATGTTTGAAGGGTTCAGGATTAATCGCTGGGATAACAAGCATATGAGGACATTTTCACAATATCGTTAGTTACTTGTATTCATTGCAAGTCAATTTTTAAAAAAAAAAATTTTCTTTTTCTTATAAGGTATTAAAATTTAGTTGGGAATAGGATTCGATCATCTTTTATTAAAATTAATATTTGTATAAATATATAAGTATTCTTTTAATTTTTAAAATAATAAAATGATACGATACGTAATTTTAGAATATACAGTATATAAATAAATTATTTAATTTAATCAAATGCAAAATTATAATTATCACCTTATAACTATTTCAGAATTTCAAGTATGTAAAATGCTCTAAGATGGCTTGAAGTTTTTCAGATATACTTGTCACAATTTTTGTCAATTGCCATGGCTCACATCCAGTTTCTTTTTTATATTTTTTTATATAAGTTGAAATGAATCTTATCTGTCAAAATGCTATATTTTATCAGACTTGATCATGTTACCTTTTTATATGATTGCGAGTCAATTTCAATTAGGTAATAACAATGAGATTATGCAGTTATTTAATAAAATAGGATCCGGTTTTATATTCTTTATTGCCATGAGAGCAGTTTAGGTATCGGGTTTGAAAAAGAATTTCCTTACGCCAATAGACTCTATCTCCAGCCTGCGCACCACTTGCAAAAAAAGGAAGTAAATGAACATTAATCGACTTTTATTTGTATACATTGTAATTCTAATAAGATCTGTACGAAAAAATGATTAGTTTGCATACTACTGCTGAGTATGACAAAGCTTGTGATCATAAAGTCTACGTAATTATATTTAATCAAATTAACTCGCTTAATAAATTAATATTTATTTAGAAATAAAAAGGTATTTATATATCTTATATTTTTCTTATATTTTTAGTAAAAAAAAATATTGTCCAAAATGTTTGGTCGCCACGCGCAAAAATTTATTCAAAAAAGATTTGAAAGTAAGTAATATAATTAAAAATGAAATTTATACGTGCTAATTATTACTATGTATAATTAAACCAAAATAAAGGTACCGGAATTCCAGAAAACTTTGCTTCAAATATTGGTTCAGAATCTACAAAATATAATATTCCAAGTATCAATTCAATTATTGGTACCATCAGTGTAATTGGTACGGCTGGTATGGGCGCGTACCAACTAACTAGAGTTATCCGAGATGAGGTGCACGTAGCGACAAAGGCTGTCGAAACAAAAATTGAATCAGAAATTAAAAATCTCGAAACAAAACTTGAAACAAAAGTCGAATCAGAAATCAGTAAGGTCGGATTAGAAATCAAGAATATCAACAATGTGAGCTATGATAAAATTACTTAATGATCATTCCTTAATATAAGTACACAATTACTAATGTTAAATATTTCATTTAATCTAGAAAATTGACAAAATCGAAAGCCAAATTTACCAAGTTTCTGAAACTTTAGGTTATTTGAAAGCCTCTTTGAATATACCAAAGAAATGAGTTCATCTCTTTCTTTTTCTGGAATAAAGCCTCGATTTATCCTCTAATTTGCTTGGACTACTTTCTGAAATCTAACAAAGATATTTTTTTTCTCGCTTTTTCTGCAAATTCTTTTGAGTTAGAGTTCTATCAATTAATTTTCACAGCTTTAATTGTATCAAAATATTTCAATATGTAATATAATATAAACCAAATAAAAAACTTTATCATATCCACCGATCCCCGGAAAAAAAATTAAGTAATGCATAATTAAAAAAAAAAAAGTTTCGATAAATCATCATTTTTCTCATTTTTCTTATATTTCTTTCTTTATACTCCCCATCAACTTTTCAAGTTCGGTAAACTAAGATTTTTTGCAAATAAATTTAATTTTTTTTTATATTAAATTATTTCGTAACTGTCTTTTATTTTTTTGTAAAGATTTTTCTTATAATAACAATGAAAAAGCTGTTGGTACTTTTAAGTTCATGATTACAGTTTATCGAAAATTTATCTTCAGAGTATTAAGTCAATTTATCTGTAAGATGAAAATTCAGGAAATAGATATTTTTATATAGGATCTATTTATTTTAAAGGTAATTGACAACTATTTACAATTTATATTTGCTCCTTGGAACGGTAAATTGTGAGGGATTATTGGAAATAATTTAAGAAAGTTACTAACGTTCTTTTTTTAAAAAATCTTTTTTTAGGGAGTTTTTTTATTGGAAGAGACGCGGACACCAATGGGAGTTTGATTCGGGTAGGATTTTCTAATTGAGAACATTACTAACGTTCTTTTTAATTCTTTAGGATCGAACCGTATAATCCGATCAGATCGGATAATTATGATCTGCGGATTACCCTAAATTGATAATATATACATATACCGTAAATGTATTAAATTTGAAGTTTTATTGTATTAGGAATGACATAAGAATCATTACAATGTAATAAAGTTTTCTATTCTCAAATTCAAGGATTTGATGTATTGCTGATTTTCTATTTACAGTCAGAACTCGATATAACGATTCTCGATATAACGATCACTTAATAAAATCTTGTTAAAACGATTTTTTTAAAAAATTTGACTTTATATTTGAACATATAAAAATCGTTATATAGAACTTATAAATTTTGATAAACCGATTTTTTTTAAAAAATTTCATAGTAAATCAGAAGGTTCGTTATATCGAGCTCTGACTGTATACCATTACCTCAAGTTTTGCGAAATAATTGAATTACTTGTTGATGATTTTTATTCTCACATGAGAAAAATTTTAATTCCCATTTTTTATGTTTTTCCATAAATTCATGAATGTGAAAAACAAGAATGTACAGAGGGAGTACAAAATTCATCGGGCACCTTAAAATAGAAATAATCATCCAAAATGTTTTATTAGAAGAAACATTTTGGATGATTATTTCTATTTTAAGATGCCCGATGATTTTTGTACTCCCTCTGTATATGTAAGGTGTTACATTACTGGGTCTATATAAACCTTGAACAAAATCATCATTGTTTGGTATTCCAATAGAAGGTGTAAAAAACTTCTTCAACCACATTTTTGCAATTTCTTTAAATGTTTTAGGATCAGTGATTGGATCATGTATGGCTATATATAAATCAAAAAAAACATTCCATAAGTTTCTAATTGCATTTGCTCATATTGGTGGTAAACTTTATTAAAATCAAAAAATTGTAATACATTTAATTTGTCTTGGCCTATAAGTAAAGTAAAACTCCAAGATTAACATTTTTTTTCCTGCCAAAAATGAAATTTTACTTTAATTCTATTCATTTCTTTAACTATAATTTTTCATGCAATATCATTAAAATAATCAGTTTCTTTAATTTCATGCTATTAGTGATATGTAACATAATGTGAAGCTCATCAGGTATCCAATTATCCAATGATATTATGTCAAATAGTAATATTGAATGATGACCATGATATGTATTTATATTTTTCATTTATTTTGTTATTAACCATTCTTTATTAATATCTGCTATTTCTTTTTTTAATATAGTGCATCACAGATAAAAAAAGTGGCTATTTGCTGAATTAAATCTAAATAAATGGTGAAAAATTTTCAGTCTGAATTGAAATACATGTTAACTACCTAATTAACTCCATTAATATTTATTTCTATTTCTTTCAATTCACATAATTCTTCTCAAAGTGAAAGTAAATTATAACTTTCTAAATCAGAATATAATACCCCTGTATAATAATAATTAGAATTATATAAATTTTCTATATCTTCCAAAATTGCAAAGGTAAGCATAACATGTTTGACTTTTTTTCCAATATTTTTTCCATCTTCAAAGATTTTTATGCTAATAATTAGTTCTTGAGGATTAAGAATTTCTCTTTTGATTAAATTTAGTACTATAAATTTTAATATATTTTTGATACTTCTTGATCCACCTTTTCCATTGATGATATTACTTTCTTAATTACTTCTAGATCAAAAATATTAGAATTTTGACTTAAATTTAAATTCATATATCATGGCATTGTAACTGTATTAATTTTAATTTTATTATTCATTTTTCTATTGATTTGTGTTCATTTCTCAGCAATTGTCTATTCACATGATAATTCATCTTCAATTGTAATTAATTTCTTAATTTTCTATATGTATCTTGAAAAATATGTATATTATCAACTATCATCACTATTGCTTCATTTTTATATTTTTTTGTTATCATATTTTCATTCATAATTATCTTAAATTTAAAATTATCTACAAAAAATTGTATCTTTTTCAAAAGAGATTTATCTACAGGATTGTAATATTATTTAGAAATATTTGTAAAATCATTAAGTATTTGTTTGGTCATAGATTTAGCTTATTTAGTAAGAGTTGAGTGAGAAGCTTTATTAATTAGTTTTAAAATGTGTTTTCTATGTGATTTAATTTGATATTGATGTATATAATCTAAGTGAAAATCAAAAAATACTTCTAAAGTTCATGTATTACTTTCTGAATTAGTTTGCTTTAACATTGTAAAAAAAAAAATTATTTAAAAAAAATGATAATAATGAAATTATATACTTATTTTATAATAACATCTGTAGGGAACTTATTTAAAATAACTTGATTGGAAAAATTATTACCAAATTTTATTACATATAGGCGGACCTACAGCAAAAGGTGAAGCTCAGACAGTCACGTGATTTTTGAGATTTTATGATAATCATATACTTATCGATCTTGTCTTTATAGGGTAATCTTTTTTTTTATGATATATTTAATAAAAAAAGTCCGCAAATTAATTTTTTTGTCGTTGTATTATTGCTGTAAATTTCATAAATATCATAAGATTACATTTTAATAAAATATGGATTATGATATTAGTTTCAATAATGATGATACAGTTTTAGCTGCTTTAGAAGAACTAAATAATACCTTTTTTACTGAATATTCAAACTCTGATGATGAAAAAGAGAACAGTATTATATCGGATAATAATGATGATGAAGAAGTGGTATCGAACTTTGATGATAATACTTCAAATTTAGATGATAATATTTATTTAAACGATTTTGAATTTGAGGAAATTTCTAATAATTATATTAAAGATGAAGTTTACAATCACTTGAAATTAAAAATTAAAGAATTTTTTGAAAAGGGAAAGTGTTCATGTTGTTCTCCTAATCAAACTTGTTTTACGAAAATTGGCTATAAACGGTTTCTTGCACGTCGAATTGAATTTGAAAGTTTGGATAAAAAAATGTTGGATTTGGTTATTATGGGACAACTTATGGCCTTTCAAAGAGATGAAAATACAAGGAAGGCTAATGAAGATAATAGAAAATTTGTTCGCTTTAATTATCGTTACAATAATAATCTTTTAATTTGTCGTATAACGTACGAAAATCTTATTGGAACTAGTCATAAATATTTGGATAAAATCATATAACATTTACGAGAACATGGGATTGAAGAATGTGTATATGGTAATACTGGCAGAGCTCCAAAAAATATGAATCACATTGAGATTAATTATGATGTAGCATGTGATATACATGCATTTTTAAAAAACTATTCAAACGTACATGGTATGCCTTCACCTAGATGGCATTGTAATGAAATTTCAATGCCAGTTATATTTCTTTCAACCAGTTACAGTTATGCTTCAGTTTATCGTAACATATGCAGGTTTATAGGAAAAAGCATGAAACGGAAACTCGTGTTATGGCTAAATCAACTTTTATTAATATTTGGAAATCTTTAATGCCATCACTTCAGTTTATGTCTCCAAAATCTGATTTGTGCGAAACTTGTGAGACGATGAAAATGGACATCCAGTATGCTATACAATATGAAAAAAAATAAAACTTACAGAAAATTACTTAGCTCATTTAAAACGTGTACAACAAGAGCAGGATTATTATAATTCTAATATTGCACGTGCAATTGAAGATGGAAAAAATAATCCTAATTCATCCAAATCTCAAATACTATTCAAAACCTTTCAAGATAGTGCTCATATTGCATACGACTGGGTCCAAAATGTGCAAATACCAAATTCACCACAACAAATAGGATCCTTATTTTTCAAAAGTCCTCGAAAGATACATTTATTTGGTGTTTGCAATACGGAAAATTTTCTTCACACCCAACAGACTAATTACGTAATTGATGAAGGTGAAATGCCTAATGATGATAAACAAGGAAAGGGGGTAAACGGCACACTAAGTTTAGTTTTACATGCAATTCAAAAATATAATTGTGGAAAAAAGAAATTAGTTGTTACATGCGACAATTGTGTACGGCAAAATAAAAATAATTACTCATTATTTTTTTATTCATGGTTAATTGATCGTGGTATATATAATAAAGTTGAATTAATCTTTATGATACCTGAACATACGAAATTTATTTGCGATAGGTGCTTTGGCTTGATTAAAATTCTTTATCGAAAAAGTAAAGTGAACACTGTAGATGATGTAGTTTCAATTGTCAACTACAAATAATTTTAATATTGCTCAACATTATTTAAATGGAGA